TATTCTAGTTTTGCATACAAAAGTAGGTGTTTTTCTGTTTGTTTGTTCATTTGTTTTTGTTAGGTTGCAACTACATCACTGTTCCCAACAACCTCAATAAGTTGCTACACTGATGCTGATTTTTGCACAGTTTCTTTCCTAGTCAGTTAAATAACATGCAGCTGGCATTTTTTTGCACATCTCTGGTGTTGCTGCTATTTTTCACAAGTCTGTTACTAATAAATGTCCACAGCTATTATTGATTTGTTTTTATTCTCCAGATACAGAGTATTTATATTGTAAAAAATACCATACAGTACAATACTCTATTTGTTTCATTAGTTTTTATTCTCCTTTCTCTTAATTTTATACACTTTTATAAGTTGCACATTGTGTGTGCACTTCTACTACAACCTTTTGATGCTGTAACACCACCATTTCCCCAATGTGGGACAAAAAAGGTTTTTCTATTCTATTCTATTCTATTCCATTATATTCTATACAAATGTTTTACTTGCATGAGGGCAGAGTGAAACCACCTGAAATCCATCTGAAGAAGAAAGTTGTATGGTGCTCTTTTTGTCTAACATTATCATTCATAATCATCTAGGATATACCATCTAATTAAGCTAATTTGTTATATAAAAGTACTTTTTGAAACAAAAACCAGAAAACCAGTTTTATAAGTACTTTTTATTCAGCTCATATTTCTCTATTAAAGGTATTTTGGAAGGTTTTCGCAATTTTTTGAAAATACCCGCCCTCTCCACTTAAAAAAAAAATGTAAAAATGCACAGGCACAGCCCTGTACCCGCTCCTGAAAGGGAATGCTATTAAATTTGTGCGAGAGCATGCATGAGCCCATTTCTCCTTGTGCACGCTCTCTTTAAAAGTACAATACAAGCTTACTTTCCAAAAAAAGATTTGCAATTTTTCACTATGTCAGACTCACCACCGCTAAGTGAAAATGGGACGAGCACGTAGGACGGCCTTACATAAACATATCCCCAGGTTGATTGACAATTAGAAGGACCACTTATTTTGATGATCCAGCCAGAAAAAGAACATCCTTAACTATACCTTTAATTTTTGGGGGGGGGGGGGGGGGGGGGGGGGTTTGTTGTTGTTGGTTTTTTTTTTGTGGTTTTATGTAATATATTTCAATGTCCAATGTGTTTTCATTAGCTTTAAATGAAAATTCATCATAATAAACAGAAAGAAAGGCTTAAAATATTTTTCCATTTCCTATAATACAACAAAAGGAGACAGAAAATTTACTTTTCTTTCTTCATATTAGGAAAACTGTTGAACTTTTTTTTAGCAATTGATAGTACTGCCTTTTAAACTGTATTATTTGGGTCAAATGTTTGGAGTATTTGTCCAAGAGCTGCTCAAGTTTAAATTTCAAAAGCTGAGTCTCACAATTAAGGGTTAGAATTTCCTAACTATTTTAACAGAAAACAGATTCTGGGATCAAATGAAAATTTATATTAAGGAGTCTTAAACATCTTTACCATAGGTAATAGTGGATGAAGATGTACCATAATGATCTTTTAACGGTCCAAACCTGGTTAATTATTAGAGTATCTACGGCAAAATAAATTTAAAAAACTGTATGAAATAGATCTCTGTTAGTAAAAGAGTTTGAAACCAACAAGAACACAAAGTTATTTTCTTAATTTGAAACTGATTTCAGAGTAGTGGCCTGAAATAACATAGTATAAAGAAAATATTTACACAAGCTCCAATTCTAAAAGTAGCTTTGGCATTGACAATCAGTTAGAATTTCACAAAACAATTTGAGAGTAAAGACCAATACTGCTTTATGATGCTTTAGTGAGTTTTCGTAAAAGAAAGAGAAAGAGAAAGATTCAGGTTTGAAATCGAAATCTATTCATTTTGCACAATTTTAAGGAGTCAGACCAAATAACAATCCATATATCATGCATTTTTTAACTTTGACCTTACTTTTCTTTCTGTACAAAGTTTTGTTCTCCAGGAGATCTGTGGTCATCTAGGGGAGCCAATTCCCTGTAGACCACCAGGACTGAAGATAACATCCACACATACCAGGAAATTCTCAGCCCCTCTTTATTTATTCAAGTCTGCAACTCGGATAAGTACAGAGGACAGGGGCTGAAGATGGAATTTCCTCCCATACCAACGACCGCAAAGTTGTGCAGCCATTGGTAAGCTCCCCCACACCACCACACTCACACACTATAACGCACACACCCACACACATTGGACACACTTTCCTGAAGAATAATTAACCGAACCAACCCAATAAACAAAGGGACCAGTGTACAGCACAAAGACCCGTAAGTCACCACAATGGAGCAAACAAAGTCTACAAATTCACAGACAAGCATCACAGACCTGTTAGTCTACATGTCTCTGCCAAAACACTCAGGCATCAATTTGAAATAAGCTCCCTGTTAGCCACAAACAAATTACCCCTCAAATACTAACACCAAACCATCCCATTGTTGTATCTGAGCTAGATGAAGCAAGAATTTTGGCTAGATCTTAGAGTATTGATCAAAGTGTTAAAAACTTCTTGAGGCAAGACATTGTGTGAAAACATCCTTGAACCAGACATGTATGTTTGGACCAGTATAAAACTGAGACATCCATAAGAGAGATTTCTATATATCGTCAGCAGTGCTGATTGTTAGTTATTGAGATTTTCAAAGATACAGATAAATATAGGTGGAAAAAGAAAAGAGGAAAACTGACCATTTGCAAGCCCCTCAGGCTAGCTTTGTTAAGGTTTTGACTAGGGCTGAAATAATTCATTTGGATTAATAAAGTAATTGTCATCTAATTTATTAATCGATTCATTGTTAACTGGAATATAGAGACTGTGAAATATGACTTCAGATAACAGAGCAACCCATTGGGATACTAATTATATCAAAATTGTAAAAAAAATAAAAAATACAAAAATACAAACATTTTGAATTCAAGATAAAAAAAAAAAAAAGATTTCATTTGTCAAAATGCTCTATCTAGAACTCCTCCAGGGGACTCAATGCTCATCGCTTATTTCCAAATAAATATCTGAAAATTGAGGCATGCGTTTTGGATTCGGCCCATTTTAAACTGACACTTGAATAAAATCCACCAACACTGACTTTTTCAGTATTCAAAGAGATATTCAGTAAGTGTTTTGGACAATTCAGTATAAGTATTAAATAAAATCCACCTGGTGTGTAAAAAAATCTCCAGCTGTTTTGTAAAGTCTGATAAACATCGTCATAAAAAAGTGATATTCCACAAAACACTTAAAGCTATAACTGAAACCAAAGACAGTTATGCAAAGTATTGACCAACCAAATTTTCAGAATGGTATTTGTTTTGTTTTACTTGTCTTTTTTCAGATCTTCTTGTATTTCCCATTCAAAGTTACATTTTTCTTTGATCTGTTGCATCTCTTTAAATCTCAGTAAAATATGCACTTTATGCACATCTGTCCTGCTTGTGTTTGTAAACGCAGAAGAAAAAAAATGAGATCATATTAAAATTAAGAATAGAAGCAGCACCATCTTGTGGTTGTATTATAAAAGTGCATATTTTATCAAGTGGAGAAAAGGCGAACACTGTTCACTGTGCTTTGTCATGCTTAAAACCGATACAGAAAAATGTTTGAAAATCTACAAATTCATGGTACTTTACAAGATAAACTAAGCTTATATCTACAGACCTGTATTTAACACATTATTACCTTTGTACTGTCTTGTGTAGCCTCTCTTTTATAGATAACTTTTTCATTGGCTGCAGAGATACTCACTTTTAAATAAACCATCAAGGACCTCAAAGCCTGTATTCATATGTTCATACCAGAAGCAGTGTTTTAGGATCAAAAGTAAAAAGTGAACAAAACTGTTTAAAAGAATAGAATAGAATAGAATAGAATAGAATAGAATAGAACAGAAAATCTCTTTGTCCCACAATGGGGAAATTCTGGTGTTTACAGCAGCAAAAAGATGATAGAAAAAATTGTCACACAATTGTGGACCTTAGAAAAGTGAAATGTTAAAAAATAAACAAATGAAATACTGTACTATAAAGTGTTTTAACAATATTTAAAAAAAAAAAATGTGCACCTGCAGTATAAATAACCAATATACAGCTATTGACATTTTTACAAAAGTTGATATTTGAAAATAGCAACAAAAGAGATGTGCAAAATGACAGCAGCATGTTATTTAACTGACTAAGATAGAAACTGTGCAATTAATATAACAACTTATTTAGGTTGTTGGGAGCAGTGATGGTTATAAAGTCTAAAAGCTGCTGGGGGGAAGGATCTGTGATAACGCTCCCTGGTGCATTTAGGGTGCAGCAGTCTTTTACTGATGGAGCTCTCCATTTCTGCAACAGCTTCATGCATAGGTGGGAGACATTATCCAACAGAGATGTTAATTTAGTTAGGACTCTTTTGTTTTCCACCTCCTGCACTGAGTCTAGATGGCATCCAATCACAGAGCTGGCCTTCCTGATCAGCTGATCCAGCTGTCTTCTCTCAGCTACAGATAAGCCACTGCTCCAACAGACAGCTCCATAGAAGATGACTGATGCCACCACAGAGGCATAGGTCTTTATGAGCGCTCCCTGAACTCCCAAAGACCTCAGATGATATCTCAGTCCACTTTGTTCTCCTCATACGATATCGATTGTATTTTTATTTTTGCAATTATGAACCATTTAAAAGAATAAATCACAGAATTTCTCTTTGCTATGGCATTTTATTAGAAAAACATTACATTTCTTTAATTTATCATATTTGTACAATTCTAATATGAGTTTTCATGTTTTAAGAGACATTTGTGAACATTTTTCAACGGTCCTCCCTCAAAGGATTAATTGGAATAATTACAGAAAATTAGTTTCACTAGTTTTTATTTGCTTCACACAATTTTTAGCTCCACTTGTCAACAATGACCCTGGTAAAATTGTAGTGCTGGCTGGTTAACTTATTAGGCCGCTCAAGCAACCAGAATATTTTTATGTATTTATTTTTTCAGACATGGAATTACAGTTTGCAGTTATATTACAAACCGGCACATAAGATTTCCGATTTAACAAAGCAATGCAAAGTAGAAAAAAGCAAACAATGAAAATGTAAAAAAAATTGTGTATAATTTTTAAAATGCTAAATAGAAGACAAAACGCTACAGTAAAATACAAATAATTAAGCATTTTTAGCAGGCAGAGTTACATTTAACTTAATCATTCTAAAACAAATTGTCACATTACTTCATTTAACTGTGAGAAAAGGACTGATTACAAATGAGTAATTGTGGGTCATGATGGTTCTAATTACAGTGAATATGGTGTCTGATGAGCTAGGTAAAATCAGAGACTGCTGGACACCGGTAGGCAGCCAATCAAAGCAGACCAAGCAAAGAGCATGGCAAACAAATCAGCAACCATCAACTGCAATGTCATACGTTACATATAAAGTTCACAACTTACAGCTTTCAAACTTAGTAGACGATCAGTGTAGAAACAATATTTCACAATGCTTTTTGGCCAACCTTAAAGCATCTTAAAATAAAGGATAAAAAGCATAATATTTGCTCTTTTTGTCTTCAGAACTACTGCAGTTCTTCCTAAAAGAAGAATAGAGTAGAAGCAGAATCTCAGAGATATATTTCTTGTTTCACAACTATCCCACAGGATGGATAGTTGCTGATTGTGGAGGGCAGTGCAGTAAATCAAATTTCTATGTTCAAATAAGCAGATATTTAATGTTTTATGAAAATGGGCTGAAAATAACCAAAAGATGAGGAATACTCCGTATTGATAAAGGATTAGATGTGGTCTGTAACCATCCTTAGACAGGCTGTCATATAATGATGAAATAAAGAACAACATCAGCATGAAATGAACAGACATGCACTTTGTTTACTGACCCTACAGAAACATCAGACAAAGCAAAATATATCTGTTTTGGTCCAATTTTAGTGAGACTTTCTGAACTGTAAATGTTTATATATTCCTGGATGACAGGAAAAAGACCATCTATTAACTGATCTGCACATGTGGGTTGTTTGAGCTTGCTGGAGCTGTCCTATAGAAATCAGATCAGTTTGATTAATTCCTCTCTGACATATAAACTCAAAACTACTGCTTTTCATTTGATATTTTCTTTTTTTCCTGGCCCTTAATTTGACATATTGTTTTATGCGAAAATGCTCTTGTTTCTGAAATATTCAGTTCAGCTTGTGAGTTGCCAACTGACATATTTTAAGTAAGAACATGCATTTCTTGCCTAAAATAAATGTAATAGGTTCCCTAAAGCAGAAAGTTAATGTATTCAAAATCTGGTCAGGGGTCTTTCTGCATGGAGCCTACATGTAAACAAGTGCATGCATGGTTGTTAGTCCTATGTGCTCCTAGTGTTTCCCCTTTTAAAGACTTGTTAGCTGTCAAGGGTGCATTCTCTCCTGGTTTTAAATAAATAGAAAATTACCACCAAATGAAAAGGAAAGCTATGCAAAGGATCATTTCATACTTGCAAAACTTGCTTCTAAAATGTTTTAACAGCTTTTAAAATCCCATGGGTAACAAAAATTAACTTAAAATAATAATTAAAAAAACTTGAGTGAATGAACGAATAAATACATTGATGAATGAATAACTGAATGAATGACAATAAAATTACCTAGAGAACTTAAAAATGTGCTGAAAGTCTGGATAGTTTAGTCAGTGAAAGTAAGTCGGTTGGACGAATCCACTTGGCATAAAAGGATGCAGAAGCCCCCCAGTGGTTGAAAGCGGAACACCACCAGCTGTGTGAAAGATCACACTCCCAGAGCTGAAGTTAGAGAAAGTTTGGTGAAAAGCGCCTGAGCCTGAGCCACAGGAGGATGGGTTTGGGCTCACGCTGACCAGGGAGCTGGAGCCGGTCTGTAAGCTGCTCTCCGCTCCAGGATTCTGTTTTTTCCACTTAGTCCTCCTGTTCTGGAACCAGATTTTAACCTGCGTTTCGGTCAGACTCAGGGACAGGGCCAGGTTTAGTCTCTCGCAGACGGACAGGTACCGGGTAGCGCGGAACTTGTTCTCCAGAGCTACAAGCTGCTCATATGTGAAGGCTGTCCTCGCGCGTCGCGGTTTGGCGCACGCGTGGTCTGCGCGCCGCCGCTTGTGGGGCGATGGGTCCTGCGGGGTGTCTGCTGTCTTCCCGTCTGAGTTCTCATGCTCGCTGGAGGAACATGTTAGAATGGGATCACGAAGAGTCGTTGGATGGCTGGAGTCCTCATCTCCTGTTTCCTCTCCTGTCAAAACAACAAATAAACGCTTTACTGAAGCGATGCCACAGAAGCAAAGACAATGGATGCTGACCTGTTGGATGAATTTATTAGATTGAATCTTCTAGATGGCTTATTAAGTTCTATCTATCCATCCATACGCGTTTTCCTTTTGCATTTAAAAGCATGTATAATCTTATTAAAACAACTTTGTCGGTTTTAGTCATATGAAAATAAAAAAAATCATTGATAAAAAAAATCATCCAAAAAAGCACAGCGAAAATAAAGTCTAGTTTCTATTTAGGAGGGATAGATTCTGAAGTACTGAACATCCAAATATAAGTAACATAAATTATTAGCAGCTTTCTTTTATAACATTGAGGTAAAATAATATTGTGTTAAATATTTTTCTTTTCAAATTGTGTTGTTTTCTGCAAAAAAAAAATATATATATATATATATATGGAAACATTGAGCAGGTAGGTCTCATGTAGTTTTTATTTGATAAATCTTTAGAATAATATCTAATTTAGTTTCCAGTTTTGAAAGCTTTTGTCAATCACATCTGATTTAGTTAAAGTTATTTTCAAACGAAATGGCTTTAACTACTCTATGACTCGTGACAGAAATATTAAAGGTTGCTGAAACACCTCTGGAAAAGTGTTTATTTGCGGTTGGCAGTAGGGGCCACTCTAAATGCTCTTTGGATGCTGAACTATTGGGTTTAGCCTTCTGTTACAAAACAGTTTCAGAGAACATCCATGATTTCTAGGAAGATAACATGATGCAAAAATATGTTGTATTGTGCATAGACTGAGTTTTTTGATTAATTAAAGCATTTAGAAAAACATTGTCTTTGTATAGTAAGCAGCTGTGGATAAAGACTGATTAAGTGGTGACCTTGCTGAATCTTAACAAAAATCTGGCAAGTCAATAACATTTCAAATTCAAAGTGCTGAATAAACCATGAAACACACACAAAAAAACACTTAGCACTTGCCTTGTAGAAGAGCGATAATGTTTAAATACGATGTTATGACTATGATCTCATTCTCACTGGCTTAGGTTACTTTCTAAATTGTATGCATGCATCAAAATGTTCATCAAACTCCTAAACACTAAACCTCCATGTGCATTCCTTTATTTATAGTGTTATAGTTATTCAATAAGTATTTATTTATTCATTTGTATCTAATTAGTTATCCTTTCTATATATTTTTTTAAGTTTTTGTTCAGTTAAAATACAGAAGAAAAGCAAATAAATCAGCTTTTTTTGTTTGTTTGTTTTTATTTACCAATAAGTATAGATTTAACTTTTACATGTGAATCTATCAATACTACATATTTGGTGTATTTGAATAAGCTTATAGTTTTATTTTATAAAAAGAAACTACTTTTATATTATTCATTCATTAAATCTTTTCTAATAAAAGTCTCCTGAAAAAGCAACAACTATCGGGACAACTGGGACCTCAAAGTACTTTGTGGCCCCGATTTAGGCCCGTGGTGCTGAAGAACAGCTCCTACATGTCAGAAATCTGTCAAACCCCTGCTTTAAACTTGACATTTCCATATTGCAGATATATTTACATTAGTTATCTTTATAATTGACTTAACTATAATAAAAAAAAAAATATATAGGCCAACACGTTATCTGAGAGATTATTTATTTAGATCAGAGGTTGTTGGAGCGGAAAGGAGCATTTAGAGGAGAAGGAAGACTTGGTCACTAATCCCTAAATAATTTATAAAGCGCCTGGCGCTTCAAATGTCATGTTGCGGAAAGAAATCCCGTCGAAATCCAGCTTCGCCACCTCAGCCGTGACGTGCTAATGGAGTTTCATATTTGCTGTGTGGATCGATAAATGTCATCTATTTAAAAGGAAGTTTTAATCGAACGATATTTAGGATCAGACATGGATGGGGTGTGAGGTTTGTACCTGCAAGGTGCTGGAGGGAGATATGCAGGAAGCAGTAATGGGATATCGATCAAAGCGCGCAGAAGCATCCTCAATGGGACGATTTAAACAATTATCTGGCTTGCCTGTCCCGGTGCCAATCACAGGCGGGGGCTCTGGGAGCAAGCCTTTGTGGCTTCCCCCAAAGGAAACGCAGCTTTAGAAATTAAGGGAAGGTCATCCAGAGATGACTGCAAATCTGATAGCAAATCTCAGGTTCAATACATTTCATTTTCGAAACTCGGGTGCTTTATTTCATTGATTTCATTTTTATTTATTCTACATTTCTTTGCGTTAGAGCCCACTTTTAAATCTGGATGCATCTGTGAGTTTGGGTGTTTTAAAATTAAAATATTCGCATCATTAGAAGAATAAAAAGCAGCATTTATGATGTAAAAATATTAGTCAAGTTACAGTTTAAGTTTTCTGTACCTGTGTGCTCATCTCTCGCCGCCTCGCTGTCCCATTCCAAACTTGTTCCCTCTGCATCCGGCGCAGTAAACTTCTCCTCAGCAACTGGAAGTTCGTTTGCTCTTTTGCTGTTAAATTTGTTTGGATCCAATATATCAGCTATAGAAAATGAAATCTTATGGTTAGACATCATTGTCGCTTCCAAAGTATCATCATCAGTTCACAGTTTGAGATGCAATAGCAGAACAAGCGGTTGCTCTGCGCAATGACGCACGTGGTTCTAATCCAGCAAATTCAACTGAATGGAGGTTTGAAGCAGCTCTTCCATCAATGTGCGGACTCCTCTCCCCACTGCCTCTTTCTTCTGTCTCCTAGCGTGAATAAAATGACCGTTGTCAGTCTTTAAAGCTTCTGAGCCCACCCCCAATTCTCTCACACGTGACACAAACACTATTAGTGTTTCACACGACCACCTAATGGTCTCACGGCGTCCAATGATAATCACCCATATCATTAAACTCAATAATTGACGAGCTGCATGTTAATTGGGCGCAGATGGCATCTGATTCATTAGAAATCGCCCTGTCATTGTGGTTTGCTTTCTGTTTTAAGCGTTACAGGATAAACAGAGATTTATTTCACTGACTAAGGTAAAAATATGCTCTTAAATAATAAACCCAGCTTTGTGTTCATTAAAACAGCAGATATGGGACTTGTTTTTTTTCTAAGACGACCAATTATACTGAATTAATTCAGATAAATCCGAACTAACTTTAAAAGTTTTTATAGTCCTTGTATATTTAAATGGCACACTGGTTATTGTTAAGTATGAATTGCAAAATGAAAGTGTTCTGAGAAAATGGATTGCCTTATAGTGTTAAACAACATTTATTTTCAATACAAACTCACTGTTCATTTGCAAGGGAAGATGATCAACCATGTCACTTATTAAAATTATGAAACAACTATTAAACACCATGAACATAAGGATAACAATAAATTACCTAAGCTAATGTAACTTATGTTGCTTTAAGAACTCTTCATAGAGCTTTTGTTGTTGTTTTTTTGACAATAATGTTTTTTTGATTAGATCAGGACCACGGCACATGGTCGTAGTCCTGTTAAAAACATGAATACAGTCATATTGTACCATGAAAAACATCCCATACCTCTTAAAGTATTTTACATTTCATCATATTTGATCAGAGACCTAAATGATGAGGACTACCTGTACAAAAAAATTTTGGAAAATTATAGTTATTTTAACAGATGTAAACAAAATAAAATATATATAAAATAACTTTTGGATTTAGATATTCTGTTAACATGAGCCCAAATGTACTTATTTGCCTATGTTCATGAGGCTGTATAATGAGAAACTAGTATTTTACATCATCCTAACTCATTATCTTTATTGTAAAACATTATAATGGCAACACTACAGAATAAGGTGTAGGTTACGGCTGCAACTAACAATCATTTTGCTAATTGATTAATCTGTTGATTATTATCAGATGTGGGAGATCTGAAGTCATCTCTATGTCTTGTATTTGTCCTACCCAGCCACTGAACCAGGTAAATCCAATCTGCACAGCAGGGCCGTGCAGAGACCACTGAAGGGGCAGGTGCTCAAAAAAAAAAAGGGCACATCTTATCGCATTTTAGGACAGAATATTAACAAAGTCACATAGCTTTCAGAGTTTAATGAACAATTATAAATTACAAAATTGTGAGACATACAATCAAAGCTAAGGGAAACACAAGAACAACAGCCTAATGTCTGTATGATAAATATACTGAATCGATAGATAAGAACAGCTTTTCCTCACCTGGCTGTCTCCTCCCGCTCAGTAGTTCTTCAGAGAAAGGCGCGCCGCGTCCTATACTTTCCTCCGTTTAAACCGCTACTCTTTGCTAAAGTAGAGAAATTATAAAACGTTCAAAGTTTTCCGTTGTCTGACAAGTAGCAAGCCTACTCCAGTATTTTCACCAAAAATATTTTTTTTTATTCACAAAAAAACTGTTCTGTAATCATTACAGAACAGTTTTTTGTGAATTAAAAAACATAATTTTCAATGTAAAAGACTAAAAGCACAGAGTAAACAGTGTTTTAGATCAAACAATACTGCATCATCCATGGGGCTCATTTGGTTTCACTTACATCTCTATTCAGGTTGACATTGGAGAGGCGGTGCAGACTGAAGACATAGCCATCCGTCCGATCATGGTTGATCTTGCTTAGGGCCAAATGAGCAGCGGCCACAGTGTAATGTGGAATGTTCGCTACCTTTAGCTCCGCAGTTAGCCGCCTTATCTGACTGTGCGAGAGGCAAGTGCGTCGTCACCGGCAAAAGGTGAAAGGTAACAATGTGACCGGAGGGCTTATTGTATTGTTTTTCTTGCCAAAAAAAAAGATAATAATAATAATTTCAGTACATGTGTCAAATAAAAAAAAAAAATTATAAAAAAAAAAAAAAAAAAAAAAGGACCAAAAGGGCACATTGGGATCATGGAGCAAAAGGGGCAGGTACTCAAGCCCCCTTAGCCCCCCCCTCTGCACGTGCCTGCTGCACAGTGAATTAAATTGTGCAGATTGGACTCACCTGGTTCAGTGGCTGGGCAGAGCAAATGCAAGACATAGAAATGATTTGAGGGTTCCATATCTACCATCTCTGTTTATTATTTGTTAATTAATCTATTAATAATCAGATAGTAAAAGGTTCCTTGAAGAAGTTTTTCTATTTTACAGAATTTAGACTAGGTGAAACTAAAACCTTTCCACTTGAGAAGCTCTGGATACAGCATATAGATGGCCAAAAAAGTTTTCCCATTAAAGATTTTTTTTAACTTTATTGATGTCTCTAAATATATTTTATTTCCTGCTTTGCCTAAAGATGGTATAATGTAAATTTCAAACTTACATGAATACCTCTTCAAACTGCTCTCATGCATTGGCTGTAGTCTATAGATCTTTGAGATTCATTACAAACTTTAACAGCTGGTCATTAAACATTGCATTTTAACTTTGAATGGTTTGCCAGTACTATTTAAAAATATTTCTTGGTTTTCTATCTATATTTTTAATATCCTATATCCATTTTTAAAAGTCCATGAAGTCACCATGTCTGTTTTACATAACTGGTGTTCACAGACTGCAAAGAGTTGAAGAATCAAACATTACAATATTCTGCACCTCATTATTTTTTAGTGGCTGGACTGATCATAATGAATCTGGCTCTTTAGGTTTTGTTTAAATTCAATGATTTTTAGTAATGTGTAATTTGTTTGTGTGGGTTAGAGATTATAGATCTCAATCGTTCCCCCAGTTACGTGGTGATGACTTTGTCTGCTTCATAGTTTAGCTTATAAAACATAAATCATAAGTACTCCAAGTTTCTATAGATATTTGACAATCAAATTGTTTTTTGTTTTTGTTGTGTCTTAATTGATCATGTAAATTATTTTCATTTGTTACTTGTTAGGCTCTCTACACAAAAAGCAAAGTATTTAAACATCCAACACCACCAAAGAAGATATGCTAAAAAAAACATATCTGTTTCTACAGTGTCTTCACAACTAAGAACAAATGCAGCTGATTGCTTTTCTTCCAAGCCTAATGGATTTCAATTCACAATCAATCGACTCCAAAGTTTTTCTGATTAGAGTTCAATATAGAGAGACACAGTGCTGTTTAAAACGGGATAAGCAGCAATGGGTAAAATGGTGAAACCAGCACAGAATCAATATCTTCCAGCAGGTGTCCAATACAGATAAAGCCTGATGCCTAAACAGACAATTTGAAGACTTGGAAGGTAACCCACAGTGGCACAGATAGGATGATCTGAGGCTTTATTAGGTGCTTTAAAAGATTTTCACTAAATTATTACTATTGGATTGAATTAGTTTTAATGTAGTCTAATTTTATGTTTCATTGTTCAAACTAAAAGTGGCTGCCAAAAGATTTCCTACTATTTATTATTTGTTTTACTTATGTATGATGCAAGTTGTTGACATAACATCTTAAAATTTGAGTAAGTTTTTTTTTTTGTATCAATCCCTTCAGTTTCCTATGTATAAACTTATTTTGCTAAAATTTCCATTTCAGGTCTAGCATGTCTACTCATTTTCCAAATACATAGAAAAAAACATAGATCCAAAAATGAAAAAATAGATACATTTCCGTCAGGTTAGATAAAACTAATCTGTAAATAGCTTTTTTCTTCTTTTTCTTGTCGTAACTTTTTAAATACTGAAACCTCTAGTAATTTTTTTTTGCTCCCACTTAGCAAACTTTAAAACTTACTTATTTTTGTTTTATTTCCACAAAGTACATTAGTGGAGTGGCTATAGCTGTTAAGTCAAGAGAAATCTTGCTGGAGCTGTTGTTTTCTGCAGGTTCATAGATTAACCACATGCCACATTTACCACAAACTGAGGCAGAAACATGCAGGATCCATGCATGTTTACAGACTACCGGTATTAAAAATCTTCCCAGTTTCCTGTCTTACTGTGATCACTTTACTACTGATCTACATGCAGCTTTCATTGCCCCTCAGTCATAGCAGAGTCAGTATTTAAAAAGTCAAACATTTGCTGAAACCTCCACTAACTTGCGGGTGTCTGCATGCCAGCATTTGCATATCCATTACACTGGCACGGGCATTATTGTGGGCTCTCCATATGAAAGAAACCCACTGCATGCTGGAGGTTTACAACTTCCTTCGGGAAAGCCCAGTGGCTGGACATCTGTTTGCGTATGTCTGTGGGACAAAAGGACAAAGAGGCCTTCAGGTAGACTTCTGAGAGCAGGAACAGCCGCTGGTACAGCCCTGGGGTCTGCTTGGGCCACAGCGAGACTTCAGAGCAGAGAAATTACTGTCGAACTCAGCAGGGGATCAGAGAGACACACTTCCATCCAACACCCCCCACTGGGGTCAATAAAGTTGCCACTTCCCAGGGATGCTGCTCAACATCAGATGATTTGTCTAATGGCAGGAGCAGGATTATTAGTCGCTGTTGTGCTCACAGACTTTTGTCCTCTTTGTTTTCTTGAAACTCCTGCTGAGAGTCCTCGTCCTTTCTGTAAAATGTGAAACTAAAAAGAAGGTATCAGGAATTTGGTTAATTCTTAGGGAAGGATGTTCCAGAAATAGCAATTAATTCTCCTTATTCTTTGAAGAGTTAGGTATTTCCTTTTTTATTTAATTGAACCTGATAAAGGAAAGACCATTCTGATAAATCCTGATGATTTTGGTGACTTTTTCTCTGTGTTTTCACTTCTAATTTCCCCAATACTCTGGAATACAACCAAACATCTGGACCACTAATGACTTCCCCATCAGCATCATCTACACCTTATGTTTAGTG